CACATAAGGGAAGAGGTCTTGCGGTCTCTGCTGTATTTGTCCCTTGTTCTCCTTCATCCACCGTCCGATGTTAACTTGTGTGCGGCAGCAGACCAACCGGATATTTTCAGATTAAGCCCAAGTTGTCAATGGCTTCCAGCGTGTGAAGAAAAGACTTTCACGATGGTAGCCGGCGTCTGATCTCACTTCCCCGCTGCGCACAAATCGTAACGGACGATGAACTATTCTTTTTTTCTGTTTGTTAGCAGACGACCTGTGGTATTTTCCTGTTTTATTTCCGTTTGCTAACGGAGCTCTGTAGCAGACAAACCGCGTTCTTCGCTCGCGTTAGCAGACAAACCGCCTACGAACATGATCTTCGATCCCTCGATCCGCTAGAGGCAAATTGGATCTCGCTCTCGCTCTCACTAAAATCGAACTCCAGGCGCGTTACGAACGAGCATGCTCCGGCCCCCCAAAGCAAGAAATGGGTGACACGAGGGAAAACATGAACCACATAACGAGAGCGGCGTGAATCGGAAGCACCTGTTTTGTGAACGCAGCAACTTCCGCGGGTATACTCGTAGGGACGACATTCACGACCGACCAACGGTGTGCGCTGACGCCCGGCAGCGTCCATTAATCTCCCGCGGTATACGGCGTTGCCGCACTCTGTCGCGCACCTCTTCGGTCGACGCCGCGCGACGCCCCGCGTACACACAACGTACGCGGCCGAGTTAAGTTGAAAAAGTCTTAATTTAATGCCAGACACCATTTATCGTGGCAGCGACAGGAAAATTTCGTGGGCCGAAACTTCATCTAGGCGAGGACGATCCACTACGCGCGCGCCCGAATCGGGCGAGATTCGGCGAGAGCCGGGGCCGCTCGAGCACGTCCTCGAGCCCCCGGTCACAGAAAAGCCCCAGCATACGCGAACATCGATGTTAAGACATTACGCCATTAGAGGACAGACGAAGCGAATCACTGGCATCGTTATCGTCAGCAACGAAATAACGGCGGTATATAAATGGAAACGATCGAAGCCGTGGAAAGAACGCAACTACAAGTGCACGCGGCCATGACGCTAAATAAACGCGGGAGAGGGCGACCATTAGGCGTTGTTGGAGCACGCTCCGTCGATCCAAATGAACGCGGCGGCTGATCCATCTTTGGTAAGTGGCACCGCGGGTGCGCGCCTTTTCTCGGCCACCAGATTTCCCGCGGCTGTCCCGGGAATGTCCGCCGAGATTATAAAGTTTGAACTTCCGGTCGGGCGTCCGCGTAGCCCGGCGTGGGTACGGCGGCGACACGGTCGTGTCCGTGTGATTAGGATGTTTGCTCGAGGAAGGGTCACCTGCAGCTGCGGCACGTGGGGCTGGGCTGCACCTCGACGGGGCGAGAGCGCTATGCTAACGAACGGGTGCGCCGCTACCGGCGGCCGCTTTGGAGTCATGATGCGGCAGCAGAGCCTCGCTTTGCCTCGTTTGCATACTGGGAAACTCGGGAAACGATCGTAGTAATTTTATATCTAGCGCACGAAAATAATATCGGATTTTGATCGAATGAACTCATTTCGTTTTCTTATCTCGACTTACCGTCTTCTCTATGCGTATCTGCCCTCTTTCATAAAGTCTACCCCCATCAACCTGACATTAGAATGATGCTCTTCGACCTTCTCGTAAATTAACAGACACCAACTTTTTACAACGCATATCTAGCCCTTAAAAACGCATTTGTTAACTCCTCATTTCCACTTTTAATTTCTGCATGGAATATACCACGTGAGACATGTAGCCTCAATCGTGTTCCCAGGTGCTTTCCGCTCTTTTTTTTATTTTATATTTAGAAGAGTGCTAACCGTTTCATTATTTGTACATATACCGTTATTTCTCCGAGAAAACTGCCGGCATAGTTGTGTCTCTACTTTTTTTGTGTGATTTCCTTATTTTAATGCATTTACGTTTTTCTTTTTTGTGTGTGTGTGTTTTGCTACCTGTTTCTTTTTATTATGTCAATGTGCTCCCCCTCCCCGTTTCATGTAATGTCCTCAATGAGGGCCTTTACGGTTAAAGTAAATTTATGAATGAGTACAGTGATGCCTAAAACGACTAAAATTGTATTGACGTGCAAGTACTCAATGTAACCCCCTCCTCCCACGTCTCCCGAATGAGACAGCAGTATCAATAAATAATTCGAATAAAATGTAAGCGGAGAATTTTAGCAAATGTCGGAAGTTTTGAATTGGTGAAACGAAGTCGTCATCTTGCTTGCTGCAGTTAGCTGTCCCAGCCTTCGAATTTCCCCTGCGAGATACAACTTACGTCATTCTGTTTTTCTTTTGATTATTTCTAAAAGTTATTTCCGATGTTCTATTTTAGCTCATTACTTTCCAAGTGCTCTCGATCGTCTCTGGCCCATGTAAAATTTTGTTCCACGTGTGTGCGTGTGTGTATTTTTTTTTTTTTTTTTTTTTGTAGAGTCTCCTTTGAACGGACGTCTTAGGCCTACTTCGCGCGTCGATTGCGGTTACGGAATTTAACTTCGGCACAGCTGGCCACTCGTACCGACAAGAATGTGACCGACTCATGCGGGCTTATAATCTCCGGACGTGACTCGGAGCTGAGGTGGGCATAAAATCAACGAAGCGGAAAACAAATTCACGCACACGCCATAGAACATCGGGCCTGAAATACCTGGTAGTAAAAGAGCATCCAGATGTCCGAGCGCCGGCTCTGATTGGAACGATTCTAGTGAGTAGACGCAAAGGCTAGCTGCCCTGTCCATTTTCGAACGCGAGACACTGCGCGCAAAGCAGACGAAACTCTTGTTCGCTCTGATAGGAGGGAGACGGCGGGTTGGTACAAAAGCAGCTAGCCTTGGCGGCTACCCACTAATCCTTCCAATCAGAGCTCGGCGCTCTCATCTCCTCCTCTCCCTCGATTTATCTCCCCATAACCTGCGCCCCAATCAGATTTCCAGGAGTTCTCTGTGAAAAGGTGAGGTAGCGCTGTGCGGTATGCCCCACGTCTTATACCTTACGCATCAGCTGATTCCAGATTGTGCGGGCGCTCGATCGGGACGAAAGCTGGCTGGCAACGGAGTATAGGAGGCCGGTTAACCGTACTACTTGACACGCAATAGTTAGCTCGCCGTTCTGTGGCGCGGTTGTGGATCGCTTGTCGCCTATCGCCTTCGTGGTCATCTGCGCTCCCCCATCCGTCTCCGTCCTCTCCGCTCAGAAGCAAAGTTCTAAACTGAAAGTCGTAAAACAAAAAAAAAACAAAAAATAAGAGTAACTGTTCCCATCCACTCAAGTGTGAACGCTTTAATGCACGCGGGAATATTTATTTTTCTTTTTGCGCCATCGTCGGTCTGCAAAGAATTAAAAACATAACAAACGTTAAACTTCGAATATTTTTACCTGGTTCCCATGCGACTTCTTTTTTTTTTGTGTCTGTGTGAGACTTGTAAGGGTTTATATTTATTCTTTTAGAAGCATGGGCTTTAAACTTGGCCACCGACCGATGTCCTCTATTTTTAGCAAACCACAGGACCGAATGCCTTTAATGTGGCGTGGTGTCGTGCGTGCGTGCGTGCGCTTGTGTGTGTGTGTGTGTGTGTGTGTGTGTGTGTGTGTGTGTGTGTGTGTGTGTGTGTGTGTGTGTGTGTGTGTGTGTGTTTGTGTGTTTGTTTGTTTGTTGGTTTGTTTGTTTGTTTTCCGAAGGAGGTCAGTTCGCGTTGTCGAGTACCATCATCACTCTTCGTAAATACGTTTTGTAAGAATTCCGTCGTCGTAAAATTCGTGGCATGAAATATAACGAACGGCTACATCGTGGCACTCTTCTTTTATCTTGCGAACGCCGCAACCGAGCCCGTTGATGCGTATAACCATTGACGCGACTGCAATCATGGAACCATTAATCTATATTACGTGTGTCTTGTATCTTTCTTCGTTCGCTATATCATCCCTTGAAGCATGCTATGTGTAATGTGTCCCGCGTCGAGTTTTCTTTTTTCTTTTTATAGTTTGGGGATGCCGATATAGCGTAGCCTCGGGAGACACTTGTAGCGCCGTCGTAGATTAGCGTGTGAACTTAAAAAGGCCACGCGCTCCAGCCAAATGTCTTCCGGGTCATCTCGTGGTAGCCGTGGTAGACGCGCGCGACCGTACGCAATGCAGGGGCATGCTGTCTTTTGTTGGGAAGCCGCATTACCTCTCGAATTAGTACATCTAAGCACAGCGTGTTTTTCTCAACATTTTTTTATATTTTTACTTTTTTTCGTTTTTATTCGCTGCTTCCGAGAACGTCGAAGGAAATTACTGGCCCGGGAAGTTTGTGGAAATATATACTTTTTATACACGTTTTCTGCTATATTAAGACATGTTTAATGCAGGTTATACTTTACGTCATGTTTACACCCTCAGAAGAAAAGGTTATATTCTTACACCTCTTGTTCCATATAATACACTCCAAAACTTCAGTTCGACGTACAACGCGCTGACGTCGAACAGACGGCCCCAACTTTAACGAGTGGCTTGAGAACGGAGATATGTATCTCATTAAAGAGCCGAAGTACGTATCAAGGACTACAGAAAAAAAAAAAAAAGGGGGGGGGGGGGTTTGCAGCAAAGCCCCCAAAAAATTATTACTTTGTTTGTGGTTAGTGACACATATATTAGCTATTTTAATAAGTTGTACTATTCGGCTGTCAAGCCGCGGCTCGTGAAAGTTGGTACCGTCGGTTCGACGTCAGCGCGCTGTACGTCGAACTGAAGTTTAGGTGCGTCTTAAATGGAAGAAGGGGTGTAAGAATACACCCTTTTTTCTGAAAGTGCAGCGACACTCGGACACTAAATTGTGTCGCGTGAATGACTGTAACAAGTTAGTTGGTCTGTCCTAAGTGAAAGTTCCACCGACATTCGATCTCTAGCTTCATTGAGTGTTTAGACTTGCCTTCTTACAGGATATCTCTGAGGATGGTGGCGTCGATTAATTCCTCTCCATCCCGTTTGCTTTCAGGACGAAAGAAAGATGGCACGAACGCGGGTGGAAGCAGCGGAGGATGCGGGCATCCACATCGGGCTCACGTGAGGTACGTGACCTTTTTCGCTTAGCCTCGTACCCAGCCACGTTGTCCCCCTATCCGGTATGCGTTCCGAACAAAAAGCAAGATATTACAACCCCGAACAAGTAAAAACGTATAGAAGGGTCAAAACAAGAACGACTGAGGGTTGTATTGTATTGTATTGTATTGTATTTTTATTGCACTTTTATTGTGCAGTGCCGCCTGGTGTGCAGGTATTCAGGGAAAGGCAGTGTGCCCATACACGTTTAGTGCCCCTGACACCGACCGGGCGGCGCTATAAATTGAGACTAAAAAAAAAAAGGGGGGGGGGGGGGGCAACGAAAATAATTATCGGTCAGGAACAGACAAAAGGGTCCAGGCACACATACTGTACAGTAGCTAAAGAGGACATATATGTACACACACGCACTGTAGGGGGGACGCGATTGCTCTGCACAGCTCCCGAATGTCATCACGGTGATCGGGGAAAGTTTCTGTCATCTTTGAGGGGAGTGACCTCCAGAGAGTTGCAGCACGTATGAGCCACGACTTGCTGTGGCGCAGGGTCCGCGATAGAGGGGGCTGCAGCCTGCCGGTGCGTTTGTTGAGGCGCAGTGGAAAGGGGACTTCAGGCGGACCAGTGCCCATAAACAGGCAGAGCAACCTGATTGTTGCCACATCCCTACGGTGTTGTAGGCTCTGCCACTTGGCGTGCTGTAGGAGTCTTGCGGTGGGAAGGTCCCTCGAGGCCGTGTGGCACGATGATGGGAACACACGTCTGTAGAGCGTGAGGGCTGCTCTCCGCTGGATACCCTCAAGGGAGCTCTTCAGGGCAGTTGAAGGGGGATCCCATATAGCTGAACAAAACTCGAGTTGAGGGAGCACCAGAGCCGTGTGTAGATCTCTGAGTGATGCCGCCGGCTTGCCGCGGGTGATGTGAGTAATGAATCCCAATGTGCGCCTTGCACGGGAGGTGGTCTCGTGCACGTGTCTACTGAAATTTAGGTGCTGATCGAATGTAACTCCGAGAATTTTGCTGTTGCTGACGTTGGGTAGGGGGATGTCACCAAGTGTAAGACTGCAAGTAAGTGATCTGTTATATGAGGACACGCTGATCGTCATGCTTTGGCTTTTTTGGGGGTTTATCGGCAGCTTGTGGACCGTAGACCAGTGGAGACAGTTGCAATTAAAATGTTAACAGGTTCTACTGTCGAGTGAGAAGAAAGCGATGTTTTCACGCATACCGGAAGTTCCAGAATTGAAGATGGCGGCGCCCACGTAGAAAAGGTGTATACAACTTTGTGACGTCACGGCGCGCTGGTAGCGCGTCGGGCGCACTTCCGGTCTGGGGCTGTGGGCGGAAGTCCCCATGCAGATCTGTATTCCTGCGTTGCTTTGAAAGGGACCAGACAAAAACCTGCCTTCTCCTCAAAACGCCGCGATTGGGGTCGTACCAAAAGAGACAAGAAAGCTTTAAAGGTCAGTTTTCACGTGCTCGGTTCGTCCGAGAATCTGGATATGTGCCGTGAAAAGGGAAAACCAGACGCCGTCGGACGACGATTGCTTGGGCGGGGAGCACTTTGGGTTGAATTCACGGATACTTGTGGTCATCAGGTTTATTTGTTTTGTTCCAACATGAACGCCAGAAAACCGTCAAGTTGTGCGGACCACCTGCGGACTACGTTGATTGCGTCTTCAAATTCAAACGGCCGCCTGATCGTTCGAACTCTCGTCTGCTTTTTCAAACGTTTCTGTTTGTCGTCAGCTCTCAGACGACGCCGGCCCGAAGACCAAATGTCGGCCCGGTACATTCGAAAAGAAGTAAGTGCAGGCCTCAAAAGACTTCAGTTTGAAGGTTGGTAAGGAGGCTCGATGTAAACAGTAGATACAAGAAGATGTTGATCATTGTGACCAGTGACCATCACCGACTTGTTATGCCTAATTCACTCGGTCCGATTCTGCTTGCTATTTTCAGTATCGACGTCGACCATCTCAGCTACGCTCGCAGCTCAGCCGTAGCTGCGAGTGAAATCTCATCACGGGAGTCAGGCTTTAGCGTATACATATACTAAGGCGTCCACGCGCAATGAATCGCCACATGTCACATTATTCACGCGAAGTTTTGCGGTGTAACGAGCCTTGGTAATTTCGCTGACGCCGCTCAAGTAGTCAGACATCGCCAGGATGACGTAGAATCAACAGTTCAAACGCGAAAAATGGCAGGGGGACTCACACCGACGCCGACAACATCGCATTTCAATGGTTTGCTTATGGGCGACGGCGAGCTTCTTGCTCACACCCCCATCCCGCATGCGCGGCGCCGATGGCGTCCGCTAGGGGCGCTCCGGTTTGTTTGTAAACATGAGTTGGTGTATAGGTGGCGCAAGCTACCACTCGTTACAAAGAGTGTTGCCAATATGATATATCTATCAATTCATCTCTCCGTTCTGTGCGTATACTAAAGTTGCTGCGACGGGTCGGGGTTGCTTTATAGGCTGTTTACTGCATGGGGGATAACTCAACGCTAAATAGGCTCCGAACTGCGTCGTATTCAAGAACCTGTGTGGCGCGCTTGGTTGTCATGGCAGCCAAGTGCCACACGCACGGGAAGAGTGTGAACTTCTGAACTAATTTATCGAGTGCCAATGTACAGTCGGTGCACAGAATGAAACGCGAACAGTGGGTGCATGGTTTTCGCTAGATGCTGCACCACCTGAACCAGATGGGAGCTGCAAGAAGATGGCTCCTCCTTCGATGTGTTAGACTCTTGCTCAGTGCATCCAAACCTTCGGTGTTGCGTCTCTAGGTGACTCAGCGTGGGTCGAAAACCATGCTCTCCTTGTTCGCGTTTCATTCCGTGCCGACTGTACACAGCAAGCGGACGCAATGTCCAATTGTATTGATGCTGCCGGCGTGGTCTAACGTTCCAGGAAAGTTTAAAGTGAGGATATGCTGAACCCTCCAAGAAGTACGCCTTTTTTATTGCGCCATTGCAGTGTCCCACCCGGACAATGCTCGGTGGAGGAACTCTTAAGATCATAGTTTCGAGTGATGGTGTGATAAAGAAAACAGACACCGAGGTGGCACAAGGACTGTGGAACCAGGTGTGTGAGCTGTGTACGCTGTAAGAAAGCGTGTCACGTAAATAGATTTGGCGCGTGTCAGTCTCGGATTTAGGCAAAAGGATACAAATATGTGCACGATTCCGGGCGTATTATCGTCCATATGTGGTTGATAATGCGCTGTATATTCGGCCCTACTCGTTCGCTTCACGTGATTCGCATATTTTAGATGTTCCCAACGGGTGTGATTTGTGGTGGGGGAGCCTTCGAAATATTCGTGAGTTAGGACTATACCGTTCAAGGCTGATTACAACGCCGTTGCCTACACTGCAGCTGCCACTCGGAAGACTCCCGAACAAATGGCGAGCACGTACAACTCGAACTGAAAGAGAGCTTTCTGAACGGCACTTTCCCCGTAACGGTACTTCGGAATATCGGGCCGCCGCTCAGTTTTATTTTGCTCGGCGACAGCAGCCGCGACCGGGGTGAACCCACTCAGTCCCCGGTGCTGGACAGCGGCCTTTCAAATGAATCGACCGCTTTGCTCTTGAGGCGCCTTCTCAATTCCCTTCCATTTCACTCGCAAACCCGAAGATTGCGGAGGAAGGCTCGGCTACCCTCCGCTTCGTCTTGCGATGGGCAGCAGATTACACCACGAGCCGTCGGAGCCAATCTAAGGCCTCGTGAGTGTCACGTGATCTTCGGTTAGGGTGCGGCGACGCGCGGTAACGCGTGGTCATGTGGTAAGTTCGCGGCGCCGTACACTGGCCGCGATGGCTCGTAGCGTCCGCTGCGGTCCACCTTAAGGTGAAGCGAAGCATATCCCGACCCCAGATATTGATTCACCAAACACGTCGTACGGGGGGTGGAGGAGGCAGCCATCGACGGCTCCGGGGCCACTTACCTCCGGGTCGTAACGCTTCCCGGCTCCCTGGGAAGAGCGACATCAACCGGTGCCGGACCCTCGTGGCCCTTTTTATATGGGTCCTCAAAACGAACCGCCCCACCGGTCGTCGCCGCCCGACAGCCCCTCCACGTATAGAAAGACCAACACGCGGCCCTGACGTAACGCAGCTGCGGTGGCGCTGTCGATGGCACTGCGCATGTGCAGACGCTTCACTTCACGCGAACCCGGTTTCTGCGCATGCGCAGTGCCCACACCTGGTGTGGGCAAACGCGGGCTTGTTTGTAAACAGCGTGTCGGTCTATAGAACCGCGACAGCGCGGCCGCTCGAACCGTAACGACCGGCAGCAGCCACTCGTCCAACGTTTGAAACGAAGTAGGGACGGGAGCGGACACTACGAGACTCTTCCACCGTGCCAATCACGGGGTCTTGTCTTACCCGAGACCGTAGATCTATTCTGACCGGATCGGAGTGGGAAACCTCCGCACGGACAGGCGCGACGGGCAACACCGCCGCCTGACGTAATGGCAGGCCTCGCTTGGCGACCGATGGCCTCCCTCCTCCCGCAACGGTCGACCGTTTTGACCGTTCGACGGACCGCTGCGGACGCTACGAGTCATCTTCGCCAATCAAGCGCCGCGAAAATATCACGTGACTGTACACTCCCCGCCGTCCCTACTCCTCTTTGATAAAGTTACGTGGCAGTTGCAATGCATTTGATTGGTTCCGATAGTTCGTATAGTGTCGGCGGCGGTCCATTTTAAGGTGAAGCAAATATAGTCCTCTTCCTCGTTTGTTTGTTTCTTTCCTTTCTTTGCGTGTGTTTTTATACTTTGGATCGAAGTATAGAAAGGAAAGAACGCGCTTTAATGACGACGGGGAATGCTTTGCTCGGTCGAGGCCCTGGATCTGATACGGAGAGGCGGCACCGGCATGCACACACGGGGGTTGTATTCGTTGGAACGCTGTCCTTATTTGCCTTCCCCTCTGTTATTGGGGGTCTCGGTTACCTGTGTTTCTTTTTGTGCGTCTGCTCGTCTTTGTTCTGTGCAGTAGGCGT